ACACAGTGGGGCGGAGGTCTGGGCGCTCACTGATGGCCATGCCCAGGGTGCGGGCCAGCCCCTTGAAGGCTCCCAGCACATCCGTGGGGCAGGTGCAGAAGCCAGGCAGCAGGGTCCAGACCTGGAAGGCAAAGAAAGAGGTGGGAGGCCAGCACCCTTTGCCCAAGTCACCAATCCCCAGCCTGGCACCACGGTTATGCCACAGCAGAGCTCCTGGACCCTCCTCGTTACCTGCCACTGCAATGTGTCATAGATCTTGGCCTCCATGCTCTTCCCAGCTTGGGTAAACTCCAGGGCTGCAGACAACAGTGGGGAGATGAGCAGAGCAGCAGAGGTGGCAAAGCCCTGCTCTGCACCAGAGGAGGGAAGGGAGATTCCACAGAGCACCCTAGGGCTCTCAGGAGTGCAGGACTGCACCTGCTGGGACCCCCACCGTGCCACCCTCCTCACCTCTGCTTTTCAGGGTGGCTGCCAAAGGCAAGAAGTAGCTGGTGAAGAAGCTGAGCCGTGCGCCCTGCACGTAGTCCCGCAGCACTGGCAGGAGCCAGCTGCGGGGGAAATCCAGTGTCTCCCTGGGGAGGGAAGGCACAGGTCAGGGGAGCATGGGGCACTGCCAGGATCAGCCCCTGGGCACAGGGCACCTCCACCCAGCCACAAAGCTGGGCACAGGTTAGCTCAGCAGAGCCAAACACCTCCAGCACTGCATGGGGACTGAACAGGAACGTAACAAACTGCTGCAAAATTGCTACCCCATGACTGTACTCACTCTTTGCCGTCAATTTCCAGGGGCACAGCTTCCAGCAGCACCTCAGGGCCCATGGTGCTCACGGCAGCTCCCACTGCCTGGTCCACTTCAGTGGTATAGGGGAAGTGTGGGGAGAGACGCAGGTCACACAAGGAACGGAGACACTGTGGGGACAGGGCAGGATGGTCACAGAGGAGCCATGGAGGCAGGTTTGGCATGTGTCACTCAGCATGCCTGCCCAGGGATGCCAGCTGCCCTGTGCATCCCTGTGCCGAGTCCCAGAGCTGCGCACACCCTGCCCACACAGGGGCAGGACAGCGGGCACTGGCATGGCCCCACTCCACAGCTGGAGAGGGCAATGCAGCCCAGGGAGCAGTGCCGTCACCCCACCCGCCTCCATGGATGAGTCTGTGCCCTCCCAGCCTGGCTCACCTTCCTCATGATGGGGTGGCACTGCTTCCCACATGTCTCAAAGAAGACCTCCAGCACCCGCAGCACCTCGTCCCATGCCGCATGGAAACGGTACGTCAGGCCTTCCTCCACTGATCTGGGGAGGAGAGAGGAGACAGTCACGCTGGCAGGGACTGACCCAGCAGTGATCAGGGTGCCCACCAGGCCTGCCAGCCCCCATTGGGGACCAGGCAAAGGCTGCTCAGAGCTCAGCCGGGCCCACGGGGACAGCCTCTCTCACACCAACGCTCCTCACCTGAACATCTTGCACAGGTAGGCGGCAGGGGCTGGGGCAGATGCAGAGACAGTGCCCAGGTCCTCCATGTGGGGAGCAATGCACTCGCTCAGGAGGGCCTGCAAGGGCAAACAGGGAAAATGGGAAAGCACTGGACCACGGATCCCCCAGCTTGGCAGGTACAGAGGGGCACACCACCCCTCAGCAAGCCCCAAACCCCCCCCAGGAGGACCAGAGCAGCCAAGTGGGGCAGCGGGCACTGGGATGGTGCCCGTGTGTGGTACGGTACCTCCAGGGTCTGTGCTGCTGCTGCCACCACCTGGGAGTGTGGGGAGAGGAAGCAGTTCATGGCAGCAGAGAAGAGCCGGGGTAGGTGAGCCCAGCACAGGTCCTTCTGCAGCCTAGAGAAAAGATACCAGGCAAGTGAGAGACCAAGCGGTTGCCTCTCCCCCTGCCCAGCCGTGGTCTCTGCCCACACCTGCCCAGGTTGACGTGTGCCCTCTCCATGGTGGACAGCCAGGTCAGCAGCGGCTGCAGGTCACTCGTGCTGGGTACATAGTCGTAGAGGGCCTGGGGAAGCAGAGGGTGGGTGCTGTGGCACTGGCAGCCCCATCCCTCCCCTCAGTGGCACCCCACACTCACGGTGATGATCTGGGCATTAAGCTCGGCCGGCAGGCAGGCCACACTGGCCTGGGCACTGAAGAGGCTGTGGAAGGCTTGCATGGCACACGCTGTCACCAGCTGCAAAGGACACGGTGTCAGGAGCTGGGGGGCTCTGCTTTGCACCCACTGTCCCCCTATCCCAAAGGGGGGTCTGCCCCAGCAAGCCCAGCACTGCTGCGACTGTGCCCCATCTTCAGCCTCCCTCTTCCACAGCAGGCAGGCCAGCAAGCACCAGCTGCCCCAAGCTCCAAGCTCCTCCACATTTGTATCCTTCATTTCCAGGCTCCCAGCTGGCAGCTGAGGGGGTTCGAGCCCTTCCAGAGCACAGCCGAGGGGCAAAGCGGCTGCCCTTGCCATCCCTGGCATGGGGACACTCACCACGTGGCTGAGGGTCATGACTCGGAGCAAGGTCTCACAGCAGGTCTTCACCACGGCCGCAGGGAAACAGGGCAGCAGGTCCCGCAGCAGGGCTAGGACATGCAGGGTGGTGGTCGCCTCCTTGGTGCCTGTGGGAGCAAAGCAATGTCTGAGCCTGTGGTACCCCATGGCAAAGCCCCGCCTGAGGCAAAGCCCCCATGACAGTGCTGGGGCTGACCCATGGAGCTGGGGTGAACACCCCCCCAACTTCTGGGGAAAGCAGAGCAACAGACAGATGGCTCAGGACCCTCCAAAACACCTTAGGTGCCCCAGAGGCATCTCATACCCTCCCCAGCAATCCAGGGTGCTACACCCTCCCTTCTTCCCTTCAAGTCCTTATTCTCCATGGCTGCAGGGCCCCCCACACTCAGCTGCAGACCCCTTGCTCCAGTGCCCCACACCTCCAGCTTTTTCAATCTCCTGCACGCAGAACTTGGCGGTGGAGGGTGCCGCAGGGTGATGCTCAGGGGCTGCATCTCCAAACATGAACTCGCTGCCCCTCAGGACAGAACACACGCCGTACTGCGCTGCTTTCCGCACCTTGGGAAAGGAGAGCCCAGGTCAGTAGAAGCCATAGACCCCAGGAGCACAGCCAGCCCCAGAAACGAGCCCCAGAGGCAGTGTCATCCCTCGCCAGGGGCACCAGGCACTCACCTTGGGCTTGGTGTGAACACAGAAGCTCAGCAAGCTGTGATAAACCTGTAGGGTGACGGGGTAGCTCCAAGCTGCCAAGTCCTGCTTTCGCAGCAGCGTGGCCAGGCAAGAGAGGACCTATAACAAGGGAGCAGGAAGGACGTTAGCATCACCCCACAGAGACACTGCAATGGCCTTAGGCCAGCATCCAGCACCACGCTACAGCAGCAGCCTTGACCCCAGCTCTCAGCAGAATCCTAGGCAGAGCTGGCATGGCTGGCTGTCTCTTGGCTACTCACCCATCGCAGGGCAGAGGTAGAGCTGCTGCAGGCCTGCGAGGACATGATACCCATGAAGGCTTTTGAGGTGTCTGAGAACTTTTTTATGAGCACAGGGCTTGGGACCCTGCCGGGAGAAGAAGGCATGTCAGCGGTGCGAGGAGCAGGCAGCCGGTGGCAGTCTCACAGGGAACCACATGCCCAGCTTGCCCTGGTTGGGTCATTTCCCCAGCTCAGCAAGGGGGACAGCGCCAGCCCCTTTTTCATGATGGGGCTAGGTAACTCTCCCCATTCCTTTGCCAGCTGCTCACCGCTTTAGGACGAGGTTGAGCAGGTAGGCGACAGCAGCCAGCGACTCGGGGGACTCCACCGCCTCCAGCGTGGTCATCTGGGAACAGAGGATGCGTGAGCGAGGGGGAACAGGAGTTCACACCAAGCCAGCCCTTCCCCAACCCCAACCCTTGGGAAGGGAAGCAGAGAAATCAAAAGCAGCCCAACAGTATCTCTGCTGAAGAAAGACACCCAGGGCCTCAGCTACGAGCACACCACCTTCCTCCACCAACCCTCCCAAGCCCACCCATGCTGCCAACAGCAACTCCCCTCACGCCTCCTCCCCATGACTGTCACTCACCAGTGCAGCAAAGTACTCTGTCTCGCTCTCCTTGCCCCCCCGTGAGCGGATCACCTCCGTCACGGCTGCCAGCACAGCACAGATCTACAAGCAGCAAGCGGAGCAGGTCAGCGCCCTCAGCCTCGCATCTGGGGGGCCATCCCCACTGGACTGCCCCAGCCCTGCTCCTGCCCATACCTCTTTGTGAGCGGCAGAGTTGGACTCCCAGAAGCGCTGCACCTTGCTGAAGGTGACATTGGTGCAGTCGCTCAGTCCGCTCAGGAAGGTGCCAGAGGACTTTTCTGTGGCAGCCTCCCCAATATCATCGTCCTCCATACGGAGCTGAGCGCTGTCACTCGTCCGCTCCAAACGCAGGGACCCCGACTGCAGCTCATTGTGCAGCTTCACCGCATCCACCGTCAAGTTACTTCTCTCTGCCGGGATGAAGAGGTATGTTCAGAACAGCGAAGTTGCGTTGCTCCGCCATTCACCCCAAAACCCCCCATGGCCACCCCCCCTCCCCTCCCTGCCAGACCAGCTTGGCTGGAGCTCATCTGCAGCATGTGGGACAGAGATGCTCCTTCCCCCTGATGGCAGAAAGCACAGTAATAACTGGAAAGAGCTCCTCATTCCTGTGAAAACAAACCAGGACACAGTCCAGCAACCAGACAGCCAAGGCACACGCTTCATGTCCCTCCAAGTCCCAGACACCAGCTTGCAACCAGCTGCAAGAGGACAGTGCGTGCTGCAAGACACATTTCTTTATCTGCAGGAGAAAGATCTCCTTGGCCAACAGCAGCCAGGGCTGTGAAATCCAGCCCCTCACGGATAGCAATGCTATGAGGTTTGTCTTCCCCATCATGCGGCCTTCTGAATGGGAGTCTCTGTCACATTTCTCTCCACACTAGACACCACAGCAGCACTTACAGGTGTGGCCGTGGGCTTTTGGGAGCCCGAATTGCTCCGGCCATGAGCCTGCCGAGAGGTCACACAGCCAGGACAGCCTGTATCCTGGCGGCTGCGGGCAAGGCCTCGCACCGGGCCCCGGCAGGGTGACAGGCATTGCTACAGGCCGTGTCCCATTTCACTCCACAGGCCCGGTGTCACGGCGAAGGTAAGGAGGACACACGCGTTACGCCGCGGGCTCGGCACTCCTCCCCGGTTTGCTGCCTCTCCCTCCCGGGGCTGCAGCTCGGGGGGCAGCGGCTCCGGGTCCCCCCCCCCCGCCGCAGCTCTTGGGAGCTGGCGACCCAAAGGCTCGTC